AGTGTCAAAGAAAACAAGGATTAAAAACAAATCAGAGCTTCCCTTCCACTCTGGAGCTGGAGGAAACAAAAAAACCCAACTGGATATCAAGAATTGTAGTGCCTTGATCCTCTAAAGACTAGGCTACAGAAGAGTGCTGTGCAAATTGGTTTTGAAATTTTATTTTTCAAAAACACTAATTCAAATATTGTTGGGAAGGGAATGAAAATATTCAGCTATACAGGTTTAAAAAAATACTAACACCATGTTAAAAAAAGGTATTACCTGATATGCACTGCAACAGTGTTTAATCTAAATTGCCCTGAAATTAAAGCAGGCAACTATAAAATAGATGTAGCATCGTCTTTACCATTTTAAAAATGCCAATCAAAATAAGAATAAAATCAACTGATGTCTAAACATGAGTATTAAGAAAACTGTAAAGTATGTTGAGGCACAAGGGACAATCACAACTAGTTCCAACAACTACTTCCAACCTGTAAGTTTTATTGAGGAAAACTCCTAAATTTGTTGCTGTGTGGATTATAAACACGTCAGCAGGAGCATTTTACCCAAGTATTGTTGTTTTTGTTGGACACAGCTAACTGTATGATGTTATCATGCATATAACTAACCTATTGTGTTTTAAAAGTAGCCTTGGTTTACAGCAGAAAAATTCTGTTCATTGGTCACAGAAAGAGAGTTAAGCAGGGCTGGCCTTACCATGAGGCGAACAGAGGCAGCCGCCTCAGGTGCCAGACTGTGGGGAGGCACCACTGGGACCCAGAGTATAGAATATTGTGTCTGCTGGTGGTGGTCGTCATTTGAGCTTCCCGCCTTAGGTGCCAAAATGTTGTGGGCCAGCCCTGGAGTTAACTTTCAAGAGCAAAACACTTGACGCACAGCCTTCTTTCAGGGTCAGAGGAGCTTTTTTGAAAGCCAAGTGTTGTAAAAGGCTTCACACTTATATCCCCTCGCTCCACTACAGACTTTCTTGTTACTAGTTAATTCAGACCTGTTCTAGTTAGACTCATGCCACCAAAGGAGAGCCTACCTGTCATATCTGGGTGTCTGGCTGGTGAGTCTTGCCCACATGCTGGGTGTCTGGCTGGTGAGTCTCACCTCATGGTAAGGCCAGCCCTGCTTAACTCTCTTTCTGTGACCAATGAACAGAATTTTTCTGCTGTAAACCAAGGCTACTTTTAAAACACAATAAGGTTCAGCTAATCGCCATATTTGGGGTCAGGAAGGAATTTTCCTCCAGGGTAGATTGGCAGAGGCCCTGGAGGTTTTTTGCCTTCCTCTGTAGCACGGGGCACAGATCACACAGAGGATTCTCTGCATCTTGGGGTCTTTAAACTATCTGAAGACTTCAATATCTGAGATATAGGTGAGAGGATTATTCTAGGAGCGGGTGGGTGAGATTCTGTGGCCTGCACTGTGCAGTGGGTCAGACTAGATGATCATAATGGTCCCTTCTGACTTTAAAGTCTATGAGTCTGTATCTTCCCCAGAATAAGGCAGAAGTTCACACATGTTCTGGGTCAAGAGATGCTTTTTTAACTTTAACTCCTGTCAAGGGAGATTGGAGGCAAACTAGTGCTTCACACAAACTAGTGCACAACACCCAGCTCTCCCCAGCACACTACATATACTCAAATAAGCCTTCAAATCCCACGGGAACTACTGTGTTCCTCCCCACGTAAGGTAAGTCGAAGACACTTTGGGTATGTGTGCGCACTGCAGGTTGGACCTCTTTGGTCCGACACCCTCAGGACCTGACCCATCACAGGTGAGGGATTTAGTTGGACCAAGGATGGTCATTTCTGCCCCCCCACCACCTGCCCCCTCTAGCCCTGGCCCCTGACCACTGCCCTCCCAGCTGGCTCTCCCCTCACTGGTCCCGCTGCCCTACCAAGCAGCCTTGATACCTCTGTGCATTAGGCTCCTGCTGTCACGCCCAGCTCCTGTACCAGGCAACCCCTCTGCCTGCTGGACTCCCATTTCTGAGCCAGGCAGCCTCCACACATGTGTACACATCAGGTTCCTGCTGTAGCACCCAGCATCCCCGCTGCCTTTGCGCATCGGGTTCCCACTGCAGAGCCTGGCTCCTGCTGCTGCGCCAGGCAGCCCCATAGCCTCTGCACCGGGCTTCTACTGCCAAGCATGGGACTCACATAGCCCTGCCGGGAAGCCTTGTTGCCCTGTCAGCTTGCAGTGCTCCCTAGCACTAGCCTGCCACTGGGATTCTCTGGTCCTGGAACATGTTGCTGGAGTCCCAGTTAAGAGAGTTTCAACCTGTACAATAAAACCACGCAGTAACCCATGTCAACGGGCTCAGGTTAAGGGGCTGTTTAATTGCAATGCAGACATCCAATAGGTGCACAAATGCCTGCTGAAAAGACAGCTCAGCATCTTGGGAATAGGGAAAGGATAGTTTCAAACTACCACTAAATTCCCAGTTCCCTGTTTTTTCCTTCACCAACTGCCTTTCCCCAGCCAGTCTCTCTCTACAGAAGAAGCTTCCTTTTACTATTATCTCCTCATCGGCTTTGTCCTTACTCATTGACTCTACTCCTAGGGAAAAGGGTTTGCCCTTCCATTAAGAGGAGATCATAGCTCTATTCCACTGGGAGTGGATACAAATAGGTGACATCAAAAAGAGCCAAATAGGCCTAGCTTTGGCTAGTAAATACCCCATGGCAAATTCTAACTTGAAACCAGGAATGAGTCTCCCAGCTGGAGATCTTTGTAAATTATACTGGTGGTGCCCAAGTGACAAAAATCCATCTTTAATCAGCTCCCTTACTGACACTTTCAAAAGACTGGCCAAAGAGCTGACTGGCACAGGGACTGAGATGTCAATCCCTTCAAAATACTGTTGAAGCACATTACAAGAGCCAAGAGCATTATGCTTGCTCTTCTTGTACCAGTTCTGTGGATAAACAAGAGGACAGGTCAGTCGCCTGTGCTGTCAATATGCGCAAGATTGAAATGAATGAAAGCATCCATTTTTATATATTAAACAGAATCAACATGGGCTGGTTCTGGTTGTAATTCTGTACATCCCAAACTCATTTAACATGGCTGCAGTCACAAAGGAGCTAAATATATTTTGTTTTACATATGAAACAACTTCCTTGTTCCTAGCTGGAATGAATCTCTATTTCCAGTGTAAAATGCCAACAACTTTATGAAATAAGCTTCTCGGCAAAGCGGTTTGTTTTGTTTTCCTCTATCTTTAGTCCTCTTGCTGGAAACAAGGCTGACAAGCTAGACCCTCAAAACAGTAGTACTATCTTTAACGCTACCTAGAGGTAAAGGAGGACTCATTTCAAAGAACAGTTGCAGAGGCACAGCATTATCCAGGTTAATTGCTGATCAAGGAAACAAGCTCTCACACATCTAACATATAGTAGTAGTAGCTGTGTCAGCCAAACTGACACTTCACCATTTGAACACACATAGCTAAGCCTGTTAGAGCACTAGTAAAAGTATTTGCAATGTGAGATACTACAGGAATTTGAGACACATGCCCTTTTTTCCATAAAACTATAGGAAGAAAAGTTGTTTGTGGGTTTTAAGAAATATATTTGGCTATATGGGAAGCAAAGTTGTTCCGGACCTTAGCTAAAAGTTATATGCAATTTAACAGTTTGCTTCCCAACAGAGCCCTAACACTAGGTGCTGGGTTATCACCTAAGCAGCTACTGCCTTTATGCTCTGGTTTTACCGTATTTTCCGGCGTATAGGGCGACTGGGCGTATAAGACGACCCCCTATCTTTTTAATTAAAAGATAGGGTTTAAGCAAAGTTGTTCCGGACCTTAGCTAAAAGTTATATGCAATTTAACAGTTTGCTTCCCAACAGAGCCCTAACACTAGGTGCTGGGTTATCACCTAAGCAGCTACTGCCTTTATGCTCTGGTTTTACCGTATTTTCCGGCGTATAGGGCGACTGGGCGTATAAGACGACCCCCTATCTTTTTAATTAAAAGATAGGGTTTCATCTTATACCCCAGCGCCCCTCCGCCTCCTTTGCTCCCGGTGTCCCTGGTCTGCTGGAGATGGTCCCCAGCAGACCA